TCCTGTCTCCCATGAACACCCATGGCACATCGTGCCTGTTCGCTACAGAGATCCTGAAGAGAGTGAAAAGAAAAAGCAGACTGCTGAGGAGAAGACTGTGATCCAAAAATGAATGCATCTTGATAGGGTCTATGTTATGCCATGAGAAGAAAGAAGTAAAAATGAAGACACCAAAGACACAGAGAATAAAGCACCACTGAAGCGCACAGAGGCCACAAGATTCAGGAAGAGAGGTTGGGTTTGAAGAGATGGAGGGATATACATTTTCTTCAAGTATAAATTTAAATAGATGAGCCCAGATGACCTCTGTTTTCTCAGTAACTTAAGAGATGAGATTGACTCCTGACACTAATGAGGTGGGAGTTGTGTAGGGGACTTGAGGATAGTAATTATGTTTCAGTTGCTGATGATTGAAAGATGGGAGAGGAACCTGAACAAGCAGAAAGAAAAGACCATTTGGCTAACAATAATATCATTACTATTAGTCAAAGGCCCAACAGGAAACACAGCGCATTCAGGTGGCCGAGGTGAGTTTTGTGAAGGGTATGTTTGACAAGGTGTGAACAGGGTAAAGGGGAATTCATAAAAGATACTGAAGCACTTGGGGTTAGTGGAGTGGGACCCCTTTACCACATTGAGGCTTCAGGAGACAACAAGAGAGAGGAGACAACAGATACCAGCTCTAAGAAAGAATGGTTAATGATTGGGAGAGGGCTGCCTAATTGGAGCTCATTATGGCACAGATGTTTAAAGGAACTGCCGCCTAGGAAGCCTTCTTGCCTCCAGGTTCTGGTAACTGCTCTGTCCTCTTGCCCTTCCCCTAAGGTGGGTAGAGCCACCTAGTACCAGACCCAGTGTGCTATATTATTCCTTCTGATTATACTAGTACTTCTTATACCTTTTTTAGATTTCCCTTTACTATAGTTCTCAAATTACCCAATTTGAGTATGCCACTTCCTACAGAAACTGACTTAAGTACTTTGAAAAGACTAATAAAATAGAACATCTCTGGAAAAGAATAAAAAAGGAAGGAATGGTAATATAAACAATGTTAAGAATAAAAGGAGGGACATGCCGTGGACAACCAATGAAATTCTGAAGCTATTAATGAAGACTTAGAGTCTACTACATGAATTTGAAACCTGGAGGCTAGGGAGAGTGCCATCCAGAGCATCTCTGCCTTTCAGTCTCCTAGTGCAAGCTTCTATTAAAGATGTGAACAAAGGAACAGAAAAATAGCACACAACTGTGTTTATGCTTATATAAATCAATTAAGTTACTGCTGGAACACGTTTTTCTCATGAGTAGGGAACTTGGGCATAAACCAGTATAACCTCAGAGAACAAGAGTCAATTCTGGGAAGAAGTTCTGTTTGCAGAACTTCTAACTTTCTGGAACTCTGTAACCAGAGTAAACAAGTACTTTCAGAAAACTCCAGCTCCCTCTAGAGCAGCAGGATCCCAACACGGACAGAGCATACCTAGAACATAAGCCTGTGTTCTTATGCCATGAACAACTTCAACTTTATGCCAACAAATTTGAAATCTTCCAAGAAATGAACAATCCCTACAATGTATATAATTTAACAAAGTAGCTTCAAGAAGAAAAAAATTGGAGTAGACCTACAGCCATCAAAGAACTAAAGTAATAGGTTAAAAAAATCTTCCCATAAAAATGGATCTGTCTGATGCCCTCCCTCTTGGCTCTGTGGGTTAAAGCCCAGTACTATAAGCTAGCTGCAACTTCAGCACGAGTTCAGTCCCAGCCAGAGAGGTGACCCACACAGCACAGTAGAACTCTCCTGTCTTGCCCACTGCTCTCCTCAGCAGTGTACTTTGTCAATCTGACTTTTCTGCTTTCCACTTTCTTGCTGGCCCTGGCACCTCTGCTCTGTACCCCAGTTCTGTATGCATAAATTAATCTTAAAAAATGGATCTGTCCTTAAGTGTTTTACTCAGCACATATATACATTTTAAAATGTATCTTTTCGGGGCCTACCTGGAGGCCTATGGATTAAGTCTCAGCATGTTCACCCTTAAGGCCTGAGTTTGATCCCTGGTCAGGGAACTAATCAGTATGGTACAATAGACCTCTCCTGATTCACTCACTTCTCCATTTAGTGTATATCTGTAAATTTCCCTATTCTGCTCCCCACTCTGTCTTTGGTGAATACTCTCACCCCCCCCCCCCGTCTCTGGTCTATACCCCAGTTATTCTATGCAATAAATAAATCTTTAAAAATCTAATAATGTATCTTTTATCTTGTCCAACAATCCTGTTTATCTGTCTAAATTTCTTATGCTAAGAGGCCAGGAATGGCATCCACCTTATTTACTATTATAGCCTGGCACAGACTTGGCTTAAAATTAACATAGTTAAACTAAGGCACAGTGCTAGAAAATCTAAGACATTAGTAGACATATAAGGCTTCAGGAAAAAGTCACTAAGTTCCAAGTATAATTTCAAGCAGTCAGGGTAGGGTTGAGTTCACCTGTTTTGGCACTGGTACAAGAAGTCCTTTTAGAGTGACAATCTGCATGCAGCAAGTAGCTCTCCCTAACATTTTGTCTCTACAGCAGTCTAATAAATAATTTCTGAGACACTGAAATTCGCTGTTTGGCCCTTTTGTTAATAATATCAAAGTGAAGTACTAGGAAATTCTTCAGAGAAACAGCTAAATAACATTACCAAAGGCCTGAGCCCAATTCAGATACTTAAAAAACCTATCAATAACTTTCAGGCTACTTTTTCCCATTCCACTTCACATAGTTGTGACCTACAACAAACTTTTAAAACAAATATATATATATATTTTTCAGAATAGAATACTGTTTATTATGTAACATTTGCTATTATTTCAGAATATATTTGATTTTTTATAGCATTTACCTTTTAACTGTTTTGGCAGTAAAAAATTTTTAGTAATATAATAGTTTGCTTTTACATCATTTTGTGCCTTTTTCCATCTCAAGTGTAATCTCTGTGGGCTTCCCATCACCAAATCACCCTTGTGCCTCACCATAGCCCAGTGTACTGCCTGCCGCCTCCCCACCCTGTCCTTTATGCTCCTGCTGTGAGTGAAACCATCCAGTATTTTCCTTTTTCTTTCTGGCTTATTCATTAAGCATGATCCCTTCCAGTTCCATCCATGTTGCTGCAAAAGGCATGTGCTTATCTTTTTGAATGCTGAGTAATATTCCATTTAATATAGTCATCTACTTTTGGGCATTTGGGTTGATTTCATGTCTTTCCTATTGTAAATAAAGCAGCAATAAACATGGGGGTGCAGCTGTCTTTTTGAATCAGTGTTTTTGTGTCTTTTGGGTAGATACCTAGGCGTGGGATTGCTGGGTCATATGGAAGCTCCATGTTTAGCAATTTGAGATACCTCCAGGCAGTTTTTCATAGTGGTTGTACTAATTTGCATTCCTACCAGCAGTGCAGGAGAGTTTTTTTCTTCACATCCTCACTAACATTTGTTGTTGCTAGTTGTTTGAAGATGTGCCATTCTCACTGGGGTGATATCTCATTGTGGTTTTAATTTGCATCTCCCTTATTACAAGTGATGTTGATTTTCAACATTTTTTCATATGCTTGTTGGCCATCTGCATTTCCTATTTGCAGAAGTGTTTTTTTTTTTTAGCTCTTTCCATTTTTTGATGGGTTTGTTTATTTTTGTTGAGTTTCATTAGTTCTTTGTATATCTTTGTGATTAATCCTTTATCACTAGTATTGTGTGAGAAAAATTTTCCCAGTCAGTGGGAAGTCTGTTTTTTTGTAATGTCTCTTTTGCTGTATAGAAGCTCTTTAACTTGATGTAACCCCATCTGTTTATCCTTTCCTTCACTATCATTGCGTTGGGTGTTGTATCTTTAAAGATGTTACTGAGGTATATGTCAGTGTTCACCCATCTTTGCTTCCAGGTATTTTATGGTTTCCATTCTTATGTCTAGGTCTTTAATCCACTTCAAGTTGGGTTTTGTGCATGGTGTGAGGTAGTGATCTAGTTTCATTTTTTTTTTTTTTTTGCATGTAGGTTCACAGTTTTCCCAGCACCATTTCTTGAACAAACTTTCTTTATTCCATTGTATATTCTTTGCTCCTTTGTCAAAGATTAGCTGCCCATAAACCTGTGAGGTTATATCTTGGTTGTTTACTCGAATCCACTGGTTTGTGTGTCTGAAACAAATATATTTCTTTAAAGGAACCAAAATCATGGCCCTCATATCTTGACTATAACTTACATTTTTGATGTAGAGAAATTAGCTTCATTTGTATTTTTATTCAGAGTTCTTCAAAGCCCTATGGAGTTCAGCTGAACGCAGGATGTGGGCACAGAACCCAGGATCACCGGGGTGAGGGTGGGGATAGTTGATAAGGTTCTGGTGGGTCTTAGATTTTGCCTACCAGCTGTAATGATGTGCTTGCTTTTTCCTGTGTTTGTTTTCTTTTTACTGCTGAGTTTCTAAACCACATTTCAACTAGAGCAGTCAAGAAGATTTAAGTTGTTTCTGTGATTCATGCAAGAGATATATATGGCTTCTAAATTCATAGGGGTTCATCATCAGAGCTGGGTAACTCACAGGACCCAGGAAGGACAAGTAGCAGCCAAAGATAGTAAGGCCCTTCCCTGAATCTGAGACTTGGTTGTTAGGGCCTTTAAGCATACACACAGTGTTTTCCTATCCAATTTTAATGAAGCACAACCTACAGATTAAAGGGAACATAGCATCACAAAGTTCACAGGAGGGTACGAAACACAGATATCCTCTTTCTATTTATCTGTTCCCAAAGTTCATCCCCCAAAGTCATGCTCACATCCTTGAATGGCTAAAAAATACAGTTTATTTCTCTTGCCATTTCAAGGGTTTCCTTAGCAGATGTTCTTACATTTCCTCCAAGATGCAGCTCTTGGGGATGTGGTCCTTTAAAAGGAGATTAGGGGAAGGGCTGGGGCTTTTAAAGCTAAGAGAAGCCAACCAACCCAGGCCCCGGCTGCCATGGCAAAGCAAAGTGGAAAGGATGGCAACAGTCAGCGGGTGTGTGAACAGCCAGGCAGCTATGCACTGATGGTATCTGGTGGTGTCTGTGTGGGAGTGCTTCTTCTCCAGCTCCTAGCCCCATTGCCTATTTCCCTCAACAGAAAAGCCCCCTATAGCTGGTGTGGTCAGAGGATGGGGGTTATGGCAGTGTGGGAGTTAACAATCTGTTCTTCCTTATCCCAGGTTTACCTTCCAGAAAACAATGCTCTCCCTGCAGAAGAAACAGCCATGGAGGAAGTGTGCCAGTCTGCGAAGCCAAAATGTCTTGAAGGTATCACCAAGGGGGCCTAGGGTTGTGGAGGCTGGCTATTCTGGTTCAGTGGATGGGCATGTGTTTGGTTGTTCAGAATCACTGGGAATGACTCTAAGCACTTCCACTTGCTTAGCTACATCATATGGGATGACTGAGATTGCTTTTCTGGGCCCCATTATAATAAAATTAGCAATAATAGCTTGGTATGATTGTTGTGAAAGTTAAACAAGCACATCCATGTAAATCATCTTGCACAAGGTTTAAATTGCATTGAGAAAGTGCAGCTGGAACTGGATTCATTAAAGAGGCACAGGAAGGGCGGTGAGGGAGGAAGTGTGGGTGGAGAAACCGTTGGTGATAGCTAATGAGGCAACCGCCGAAATGATATAGAAAGTGGAGGTTGTTTTGGTAGCTGCCAAGTTTCATCAGCTCTAGTGAGGTATGGCTAGGGAACCCCTAGTGTTGCAAGACTGAGTTGAACTTGAGAAGAGGAGGCATTTGAAAATGTACGGGAGCTGGTGTATGAACAGAAATGCTACCGAGAAGCAGCCTCTAGATGAGACCACTCACACCTGAGCATCTAACTGCTTTCTTCTCAGGCTCCCACTTAAACCAAAGCTCAGGCAAGTCTTGTGGCTACTTGGCTCCTGTGGAAAAGCTGGTGGCTGCTCCCCAATTGGAGGAAAATGAGGAAGAGGAGGAGGAGGAAGTAGCTCTGGATCCAGATCCGGCCCCAGCTCCAGGCCTAGAGGAAGAGGAGGAGGAAGAGAATGATAATGGTCTTGGGGATCCAGCTGTCCTCAGTGCTGTTCAGAACACCCAAGTACCGTGGCAGAATGGGGTGGGCAGGCTATTATCCTGTGCTGTCTGAGGTCACACACTTGCTAAACAGCCCCTTTCTCTTCATCCCTAAGATAAGTTCTGGGTTAACAGATTCCACTTGGGGCTTGAGCCCAAATAGACTCTGTCCTGCCTCCTCTGCCTCTCATTTAGGTTCTGAGACTGTCCCCACCTTAAAAGCACTATCCTCACCTGTACACTGCCCACAGTGCTGAAGGGAAGTCATCTTGACCTTGGACCCTGTTTCTCCACATTCCACTTCTGATACCAGAAGTGCCTTGAAGCGCATGTCCTGGAGAGATACCAGGATTCCTATGTAGAAATGAAATGACTCAGACCCTCCTTCAATCTACTCTTGAGATACCAGTCTTGCTTCTCCTCAAGGAATGAAAGGGGGCTGGTCCAATTGGCTCTGAATATGGAGAGCCAGGCTGCCTTCATTCTGGGTAGGAAAAAGTTGATATAGCTTCCCCAAGGAAATTGATGAATGTAGAATACACCACAGAGGCTCAATTTTTTTCCCTCCTCTGTCCCATTCTAGAAAGGTTTTCTGGGTCCCCCTGCTGTCGAGGTCCCTGGTGTGCTAGGGATGTCACCCACGTCCTCACACTTCCTATGGCAGGTGAGTAGCTCCTGATTCTCCATCCTGTGAGAAAATGACTAGATGTTGAGGAGGATCCCATGTGTCCTTTACTTCCACTATGCTGTTCAGTCCAGAATTGACCTAACTCTGGAGATAGAACACCCAGTGTCAGTGTGGATAAGGGAGATGGGAGCTGCCCATCAGGTGGGGAAGCTTGGTAAATAACAGACATCTGGTACTGGATAACTAGCCTTTCATAGGAAAAAGGGCAAACTAGATCCCTACTTCCACTTCCACCTTACAAAATACTTCATCACATGAGCAGCATTGAGATTAAGACTAGAAAAAGCAACTTCCCTTTGGTTAATTACAAAATGGGAGCATGATCTGGAGTAAAGGATCACAGGAAATACTAGAGAGAAGAGAAGGGAATTGTAGCTCTGGGGACGGCTTCAAATGAGTCGGTTAAGAGACAGATGAGCCCTTTTCCAGTAGCTGAAAGACACAACAGCCTGAGAAAAGACTGCCACAGAGGGGAGAGGGCTTGACTCACTGACAGTAGGAAAAGCACATGTCCCCCACACTGTCAGTTCCTGAAGAGCTGCTCCATAGAAAATGTTGAAAACAGGATCCACAGTCTGGTGTACTCAATCTGCTTTTAAGGCACCCCTGAGAGTAAAATGTGGGATAAAGTGTTTGAGAAAGGTAGGTGAAGATACAGGGCAGGAAGGGCACCAGCTAAAAATGCAGCCTTCCTGTTGGGGGTGATGCCTTTCTCCCAGACTTCTTACTTCCCTCTCAGACCCTAGATTACCTGTTGCCGGTTCCATTCCTGCCCTTGGTTCCCAGAACCAGCTCTCCAGCACGGCACTTTGGACCTCAACTGCCCTCGGCAGACCCAACTTTGTTCTGCAGCTTGCCAACCTCATGGCACCCCAGGTTCAGGTACTGCTTGTGGGTTCCAGGTACCCCAAAATTAGCTGAGGCCTCAAAGTGGCTGAGGTGTGTTAGAGGCCATCTGCCAGCTTCTATATCCTAAGATAAATCTGAAGCAGAGGCCAACCTTTCTCCCTCACAGATGAGGAAGTGAAGGCCAAAGATGAAAAAGAACTGGCATGGCAGAACTGAGCACTAAGACTCAGAACACCCCACAACCAGGCCAAAAAATTTACTGTAGCCAAATTGTAGGACTATATCTTGGAGGGAACATGAGCCCCATTAAGCTAGGATCATGATGTGGCTGTGGCTGGGAAACACATAAATGAAGATAGGATTCCCAAATGCCCAGCTGAGGTACCAGAAGCTAACTGAGTGGAGGTTATAGTGAGCTGAACCTGTCAAATAGCCCACGTTTATTTCTAAGTCTTCCCAGTCATCTGATTCAGCTCCACCCGCTGCACCAACGGATCTTGCAGCAGCAGCAGCAGCATAATCAAACACCAAGGTAAAGCCTGCACAGGAAGCCAGTTTGCATGCCGGGATTTCCCCTATGGGAGCCAGTCTGCATGCTGGGATCCCCCCTGTGACTAAGCAAAGTCCCTGCAGTGTTAAGACTCATCTTGTTGCCCACCTCTACACTTTTTCCCATCCTTCCCAAACAGCCCAACCCCCTGCTCACCACTTCTTGGGGACTTCACTGTGGTAGGGATGGGTAGGCCTAAAGGGAAGTTCCTCCTGTCTTGAAGTCCCCTAGCCAAGAAACCTTGGTCTCAGCAGCCAGACCCCTATGATAACATCATGACTCCAAAAGAGAAGGACTGGGTGATAAAAGTGCTGATGGCTCAGCTGCAGAGTGAGAATCCCCACCTGGACGACTATTACTACCAGGTGAGCCAGAGATACTCTTCCAAACCTCTGACCTTGGGGTCAAATGGGCCTGGGTTGCGCTCTTTAGTTCATGGGAACCATATATATTCAAGTGGGGAGGCAAGAAAGGGGCCATATTTATATAGCTAACATTCCAAACTCAACCCCCGGTATTTTCCTACACTTCAACCAAACAGGATTATAGCCAAATGAGATTTACAGTTCCCCAGGCACATATAGGAAACAGGAGTTTCTGTATACATGAGTCTCATGGGTGTTATTTGTTTCTTAGGAGTTCTTTCTACATTGAAGACTGCCTGTATTTGGCAGTACATTAACTCTTAGTATCCTCTTTGTCAGGACCACTGAATATTAGATAGGTTCATAGTCATGCTTTTTGGGCATTTCTAAATGACAGAACTTGATTCAAGTTCTCCCAGACAGAGGCCTCATTTTTAGCTTGGTGGTTTCACAGATTTCTTTAAAAGATAGTGTTATTGAAAAAAAAATTGAATAAACCCTCAAATTTGCTTAGGGGCAACAGACAAATGAATCCCTTATGCTGTTTCAATACTTCAAGCTACTGATGGTCTTCACGCCATCAAGGAATGATTTTTGAGCACAAGAATGATCACATCATTAAAATGGAGAGGGGGAAAAGACAGGTATGCAGTGTGTAACTTGGAAATAAGGAACACAGGAAGATTGCAGATGCTTTAATGTTTGCTTTTTTGCCTCTCTACTTTCTACCTTCTTAGCAGAATTGGTGGTATCTAGCTTTATAATTACCTTGTGAGGCCCAAGACAGGGGCACAAGGCTAGAGTACTAATGGTGCTTTAGCACATGAATGTTAGAAGGGCTAACTGGGCCAAACGTGCTTTTGAAAATGAATGCCATAAAGGGCGCAGACAAAGAAGTTCTACTTGAGAACGTTATTAAGATTTATGCATACAAGAACTGGGGTATACAGGCCAGAGGAGGATTCACCAGAGACACAGTGGGGAACAGAACAGGCAGATCGACTGAAACATACTGCTGAGAGGAGCAGCAGGCAAGACGAGACAGGTCTGCTGTGCCATGTGGGTCCCCTCCCTGGCCAGAGATGGAACTTGTACTGAAGTGGCTACAGATAGCTTGATATGCTTCACTTTAACCCCTTGTACCATCAGGGAGGGTCAGTGAACTTTAATTCTAAGTTTGAGAAGATGAGTATACTTTTTGCTGTCCCATTGACTCTTAGGAATACTATCAGAAACTAGAGAAGAAGCAGGCAGATAAAGAGCTACTTGGACAAAGAAGCAAGGTTGAACCCCTCAAGTTGGTAACACCTTACATTCAGAAGGCAGAAGCTTATGAGTCAGGTAGGACCAGGACTAATGTTCTGGGTTGGGCTGTACATATAGGTGGACCAGGAGTGGGAAGGGGAGGAGAAGATACCTATCTTGATTCCTTTCATGCAGTGGTTCGGATCGAGGGGTCCCTGGGCCAAGTTGCTGTGTCAACATGTTTTAGCCCTCGACGAGCTATTGATGCTGTGCCCCATGGAACTCCAGAGCAGGTAGAAGTGCTATCTTCCAGGATCAGCTTCTCTCCTGATTTGGAGAAAGGTTTAGAGCACCCTCATTCTTGAGTTCAGACTGTAACCTAAGAGTGAGGCAGAAATATGATCAAATTTGTGTCTAGTGTCTATAGTTCAACTTTCAGCTTGCCTGAGGACTGGGTTGCTGCTGTTAATGGGTTCAATGGCTGAAAGCAGATGACTTTCTCTTAGGAGACAGGAGCTGAGAGCAGCCAGAGGCTTTGGGCATTGTACCGGATTGAGAAGGTGAGGTAGCACCATAGGGATGTTTCCAATTTGTGTTCTAAGTGGGCTGTTACTCAAGTTTACCTCTTCTTCCCACCTTTGAATTCCTAGATGTTTCTTCAATTACTAGAGATAGAAGAGGGCCAGAAGGATAGGCTTCCACAACCTTGCTACCATGAGCAGCAGAGAAACCAGGTTGAGAAACTCTTCCAGGCTTTAAAGACCCAGGAACAGAATAATCTGGAGTGAGTATGGGAGGATCAGCCCTCAGCCAAAGAAGAGAAGGGTCAGCAAAGACATTGCCTTTATTTCTGCCCCTCTTCTGGGATTTCGCCCTCTCACACAGGACCCTGAAGATGCTCTCCCCTTTTGCTTGTAGGGAGGCAGAAGATGGCTTTCTGCATGTGCTCTCCGTGAGAAAGGGGAAAATCCTAGTGGCTCGTCTGCTTCCTTTTCTGCCCCAGGATCGGGCTGTTAGCCTTCTTCTGGTCATCACCCAACATCTGCCCTTCCTGATCAGGAGAGATGTGGCTGACCAGGTAGAGTGGCACAGAGTAAAGAAGAGCATGGCTTTGAGTGGATGAGGGTTCTTCTTTCTACTCCCCCAGTCCACCACCAACCCCCCTGGAAATGCCAAAGAAGCTGTTGGTGGTGAGGGATGCTGACCCTGTCGCCCTCATAGGAGTTACAGAAAAAACTATTATAGAAGTAACTGATTATCTCAGGTACAATAAACAGAAACCACACAGCTGTATGGTTGCACAGGTGTGTGCTGTGGAGGTTTGAGAAGGACTCTGTGGTCAACAGAGCCCTCATCTACTTTTCTTAGAGAAAGGCATCCTAGAACAGGTGAGGATTGAAAGACCAGTTAGGGATAGAAAGATATGAATAGTGATAGACCTGGAAAGTAAGGATCAGGAAGGTATCAAAGGCAGGTGAGCAAGGAAAGGGGTTGAAAGCTAAGTAGGAGAGGGTAGACTTGTGATGGAGGCTGATAGGTGCTTACTGACATTTTTTTTTAAATTTTTTTTTATTAAAAAGTTTATTTTTACATCATTTTGCACATTTTTTTTTTCATCTCAATTGTAATCCCCACGGGTTTCCCATCACCAAATCACCCCTGTGCCACCACCAGCTTACTGATATTTTTTACAGGCTCTACAAATGTTGTTCAAACCTCTGGGTAAATGTGTCAGTCACTTAACCTTCCAAGAGCTTCTCCAAGCACTTCAGAGTCTAATGCTGCTCCCATCTGGATCCTCAGAGCGGCCCATCACTGTGGTGCTTCAGAATCAGGTAACATCCCAGATGTCTTTCAGAGCATCACTTGCAAATAAATGCCCTCATCTCCACCTTACCCTCTGCAGTGCTCCTCAACGTCTAGTGATCACTAGGAGCATCTAGAGAGCTTATTGAGATCAGTTCCGTAGTCATATCCCAGAGACTAACTCAGTAGACCTGGATTGGCACCCATGCACCTGCTTTTCTAAGGTCTTTGATACTGGTATACACAAACCTGTGGAGCAGAGGTCACCACATTTTTTGATTGGTTCTGATGTATTTGTTTATAAATATTGTAACACTGTACTATTTGGTATATAATAGATAAAAGATTTAAAAGATAATGATTAAAGTTTGTATATCTGCTAATATCCCAGTGAATTGTCTTGTGAACTCCTCTTGAAGATCTCTGCCTAAAGCAATGCCTCTTAAATTGGGAACTACCTGCATTCTATTTCTACGCTTACTCCAAACTGACTCCAAGGAGAAGAACCCCAGCTAGGCATTTACTCAGCTCCCCAGAAGAATCTTCTGGAAAGTTCAGAGCAGGAATTGACTAAAGTTCTCTGCCCAGTGTCAAACCTGACAACATAGAGGTGTTAGATGTCATTTGTACATGTGAACTTACTAACCCTTTTAGTTGGGAAGACAACAGGGTCAGGGAAACAGCAAAGGCCTCCAGTAGGCTTCTTTTATTTTGAATACTCTTTATCACTTGCAGTTTGGAATATCTTTGCTTTATGCCCTGCTGAGTCATGGGGAACAGCTGATAACCCTGGATTCCATCAAGGAACCCAACAGTGATGATACCTCTTGGTAAGATCATTAAGGTCTTGTAAATACTACTTCAGTACCTATGAGATGAGAAGTGTAGGCTAAGCAAGGTAAGATTTTCTGAGGGTGGTGTTTATTGCTGCTTTATTTACAATTGGAAAAACATGGAAGCAGCCCAAATGCCCAAAAGTAGATGACTAGATTAAAAAGATGTGGTACATATATACAATGGAATATTACTTAGCAACCAAAAAAGAGAAACACAGGTCTTTTGCAGCAACTTGGATGGAGCTGGAAAAGATCATGCTTAGTGAGATAAGCCAGAAAGAGAAAGAAAAATACTGGATGGTTTTACTCATAGCAGGAGTATAATGGACCAGGCGAGAAAATAACAAAAATAATGAACAACCATATACCAGAGACATTTTGCGGGGGTGGAGTGGGGAATGGGATCACAAACGGGGGGTGGGGAGGGAGGTGCATGGGATTATGGTGATGGCACATGGGTGACATGGTGATGGGAAACCGGCGGGGATTACAATTGAGATGGAAAAAAAATGTACAAAATGATGTAAAAATAAACTGTTATATAAAAAAACAATTTTTCTCCCTACCCATGAAGATCCTGAAAAAAAATTTTTTTTTCTGAGGGTGGTATTTAAGCACTGGGGAGGACCCAGAAAGTTGCAGCTGTTCTTCCTTCCTCTCCCATTTAGTGCCTCAGTGTGTTGGTTTCCCATGAGAGGCCATGCAACATAGTAATTAAGGGGAGTCAAACAGACCCTAAGTTTGAATTTTAGCTCTGTTACTTACAATATAACTTTGAGGCATGTATTTTTATTTTTCTTAACCAGTTTTCTTCATCTATACACTAAGGATCTAGGAATGATGGTACTAAAGATTTAAGAGTTCTTAAGATTAAATAAGATGTGTAAAGCACTAAGCATTGACTTGACATAGCAAATATTATCACTAATAGTTACATATCACTAATAGTTACATGGGTGACAGTGTTGGTGGAAATAGTGTTGACCCTAAAGGTTTTTCCTGCGTATATACAAGGACTAATGTGTTTGTTTTTGCTCTCCAGGACAGACATGGTGATTCTGATTGCATGGGAGTTGGCTCAGATGTCTACAACTTCTCTGGCAGAACCTCTAACTGTCCCCAGCAATCTTCTTCCCCTGTTCTGTCATCACGTGGATAAACAACTGGTACAGCAGCTGGAGGCTAAGATGGAGTAAGTGACAGCAGAAACATCATAGCCCCTGGTTCAAGTTCATTCTATGTTTTGTCACTTGCCTCTCTACTTATTTTAAACTATATGTGTATGGAGGATCACTTGTTTTTAGGAGCTGTAGACACTGTGGTATCTACCAAATAGCCATTTAAGTTAGGGCCCTGTGGCTTAACTTAAAAGCCAAACCTTTTGATTCCCATATGCTTTGGTCACTTAACATGCCAGTTATTTTGAAGGCCAGGATTAATTTGAAAAGTTGACTTGTTCAAGAAATACTTGAATGATGGCTATTACAGGATAATAAGCATGAACAATGGAAATCCTGTCCTCAGAATTTACATCTGTTGGAAAGAGTCAGATATTAATCAAATCACAAGAATGCTTTTTAAAATGTGAGCTGTGGTTGTGGTTAACATCTGTTCTCTTTGTAGGATTGCCAGGATCTACTGATCTGGTTGTTCTGAAATACATGTTGGGAAAGTTTAATCATTAGCTCTCTCTAATGTCTACACGACTATGGACTATGTGGACTCTTGTCTACGGGAATCCAGAGAGTCTGACACTACTCATGCCTTGATAAATTGGAGGACCCTTTTCAAAACATTCATTTTTCAAACCCACATTATGGTACCTAAAAAGGCATGTCATATTAAGTTATAAATAAAGATAATAGAATGATGTGTTGAAACGTGTTTGTAAGTTAGGTTGTATAATGAAGGAAATTTCTTTACCTGTGATTGCTACAAGAATGTCCTTCATGAAAAGGACAAGACCTTGTTATATATAAAAAGTAAGCCCGTGTAAACTGCTTCAAATTGGTGTCCCCCCCCCCTTTTTTTTTTTTTAAAAAACCAAAGTAGTCCTCACCGTTGGCTATGAATATCTCCCCTGGAACATGAAATGTTTGGTTTAACTTGACAAAGGTCATTCATCTCAGTAAACACTGGAGTGCCAATGATCTAGGCACTGTTTTAGATAACAGGGGTAATGGTGGTGAGCAATGAGTAGTTCTAACAACAACAACAACAACAAAAAACCCAGCAATTAGTGATGAATACTTTGAAAACAAAACTGGTGATAAGTAGCTAGTAATCCATGTAAAGGGACCAGTGAACATAATGTCCCCAAGGTAAGTGAATGTGGTATGGCTTTGTAAAAAAGATTTATTTATGCATACAAGAACTGAGGTACAGGCCAGAGGTGCAGTGGGTGAGAGACTTCACCAGTCAGAGTAGGGAGCAGAACAGGCAGATGTACTGAAACAACACTGCTGACAGGAGCAGTGAGAGGGTCAGGAGAGGTCTGCCAGGCCATAGGGGGCAACCCCCTGGCTGGGGATCGAACTTGATGGAATAGCTTCCTAGTACTGTGCTTTAACCCTTTGAGCCACCAAGGAGGGCCCTTAACTTGACATGTTTTAAGAAGGAAAGTGGTACACAAGGGGAGACAAACCCAGAGTAAAAAACAAAACAAAAAACAAAAACAACCCAGGCTTTTCTTTTTTAAACTTATGAGAATTCAGGACTTTAAACAAAGTGACTTAATGTTATGCTAAATTGTTAGGGGAACAAGAACAGAAAAATGTTCATGATTTTTCTTCCCTAACAGCTTAGGCAAAAGTTAGTAAGTGAAGGAAAGAAAAATTTGGAAGAGATCTTGGAAATGTTGGCAAATGTTACTGAAAGGCATTGGACGTGGTCTAGTGGTTAAAAAATTACTATCAGGTATGAGTGAAAGGGGCACCATACTGAAGTGGAAGAGAAAAATGGGTTTTGTTAGGGCCAAACATTTATTATAGATCCAAGTAAATAGAGCAAGTGGGTAGCAGCAGTGCAGAATTGAAGGGACAAGGTCAAAATAAAGACACAAAAGTAGGGGTGATGGGTGTTAAAGAATAAGAGGAGAGTGATTATGTAGGGGAAAGTCAACATAGGAAATTGAGTTTTCAGTAAAATAGTAGGAAAGTAGGGAAGTGGTGTTATTGAAGTTGAAGTTCTTTCAGAAAGGAGAATGGGAATTGAGATGTGGTAGCTGTTTGTGGCCCTATGGAAATTGCTAGAGTAATGGAGAGAGCAGCTTGATTAGAAGGACTGAAGGGAAAAGGACATAATTACAAGACTCAATTTGAAATTTTCCAAACGTAAAGCAGTGTGATGACAGTAGGTAATGGCTGATGTAAGCTAAGGAAGGATTTTTTAAAAGAATGACAGCAATTCCACATGATAATGAATGTGCCCCTCAAAAGGGGGAAAGTAAAATGGGAGTTAAAGCACAAATGGATGAGTTGGCCTGGTAGCCCTGTGACCCACACCTAATGGGGTGTGGGAGCTCTAAGGTAATGGTAATTAGAACTTTTCAAAGCGCCTACCCCACTCCTCTTTATTTTTCTCTTGCTCCCCGCTGATGATCTCACTTTTCTGACAAATGCTATAATGAAACTGAAGCGGGAACTCTTTACCGACCTCCACCCCTTCCCTACCCTGTCCCAATCAATCTGTGATTTCAACATTCAGCCCAACAACGACCTCACCACTCCTAGCTCACGCAAACAAGGACACTCTAGGGGCTGCCAAAAAAAAAAAAAAAAAAAGTACTTTATCAGATTAAATGGGAGAAACCGAGTACTAACAAGTGAGACAGATTAAGAAAGCAAAGGATGATGCCACCGAGTGAGAACAGCTACTACAATCTGCCTCTTAAGCTCTCAAGTACTTCAAGATAGTTACCGTGGGCTTCGGCTAAACGCAAATGTGGCTTTGCGGGTGTGATTGCGGCCGCTCCACAGCTGCCCCCGCACAAGTCACAACGCAGCCGGCGAGCCTACCACACTGCGCATGCCCAGGACGCCCTGAAGCGCAGGTGACCGGAAAAAGGGCCAGACCAAAATGGCTGCGCGGAAGGGGGCCGGAAGTAAAGCCGCCGGCTGTAGCTGTTGCCTTGAAGCTATGGAGCGGGTTCTACCTATGTTGTTGGTGCCGGTGCCCGCCGATGCGATCGGGCGGTTGGGATCTCGGGCGAAGTTGCACAGAGAACAGGAGGTTCTGGGGAGTCTGACAGCTGCAGGCAGCCTTGAAGTGCTTTCCTTGGCTCCTGGAGTCCGGGACCGCGGTGGCTGCTGCCTGGACGGCCCATTTCGGCAGTAAGTGCTGTAGGAGAGCTGGGCAGTCTTGTGGAAGTTCGGACCCTTAATTTGGCTAGTCCCGTAACACCCTTTTGACAAGGAGGTAGCGGGAGGGAGGGGATGACAGCCATGGAGAGAGCTAGGTTCCTTCAAGGAACCTTTTCCCTGGTTGTGGCATCCCTGAAGCCTCGTTTCCGGGTTCTGGGTGGGCGGAGAACGTCTGGTCAGCTGAGGTGCTGATCATTCAGTAGAGGATGATTGCCTCTGCATCACTTCGGTTATTTCGTAGAACTCCGTTAAAGATGCCAGCTGGGGATCATTTCTTAGATTTTCCTGCTACTTTTTTCTTTCCTGTTCCTGAAACAAATACAGATTTCCTTCATTTACGGGCTTGTCCCCCTCCTTACTCGCCCCCCTCTCCCTCCAAGGGCAAAGTCTACCTTGTATATCTATTCACTCAACATTCAGCACTTATAGCTGCCTAAAAGTAGTATCTTGTATGAAGGGGGAAGACAATAAACAAAACCAAGAAACGATTTCAGTACATTACAACCCCACTTCTGTGACTCAGATTTTAAATCACTAAGTTTGGGAGTGCCCTCTCTTTGGAGTCTTTTGATTCATAAATAACATTTTTAAAATGATGTCCTTGCAATCTCCAGGTCCTCTAACAGTGCCTGACAGAACCGGTTTTTGTTTCTTACTAAATCAGTGAGTGCTTTTACCTGTTCTGTGCCTTCTTTATTCCTGAAATCTAATTGCTAGGAAGAAGAATTTCTCCTAAGTGGAAATTAGTTTATTCAACAATACCTATGAACCTAGCTCCATAAAGAAAGAACCTAGCTCCATAAAGAAAGAAATGAGGTGGAGAGAAGGATTCAGAAGTACTCTTTAAGTGAACCTGACAGAAGATTAGACATACACAGCCTGAAATAATGGAGCCATTCATAATCTGCATGAAATTAAGAGGGGAAGAGGGTCATAAAGGGCTTTTTTTTTTATTTGAAGTAAATTTTATTGTATTTTCATTTACATTCAGGTCTTTTGTGTTGTTGAACTAACTATAATTAGTTTTCTGAAAATTTCCATGTGGGGCATAGCCCATTTGCTAATGGTTGTAATAGTGTTACAGTATTCTGCCTTTTAAATATATTTTGTTTAACTTTTTCCACATTTAACATTTAGATTGTTTCACAGATTTTCACTATAAACTGTAAGGATTCAATTTAGGAAAAAATCATCAGTCTAGGTATAAAGATATGTGTCAATTTTTTCTCTAATGAGGACTAACTTTAAGCCAAGTGTTCTTAGAAAAAATTTTAAAAGATTTATTTATGCATACAGAACTGGGATACAGGCCAGATGTGCAAGGGTGGTGAGAGGATGCACCAGAGACAGAGTGGGGACCAGAACAGGTGGATTGACTGAAATACACTGCTGAGGGGAGCAGAGGGCAAGACAGGAGAGGTCTGCCATGTGGGCCACATCCCTGGCTGAGGATTGAACTAGTGATGACACAGCTGCAGCTAGCTTTGCAGTGCTGTGCTTTAACCCATTGCATCACCAGTCAAGGCCCATAAATTATTTTTAAAGGTGAAACTTTATGTGAAACTTTTTCAGATTTGGGGCTCTTTTATGTTTAAAATGTAATTAAATTTTATTTGAAGCTTTAGCATCATTACTCCATTAGCCACTGCAGCACGTTGACATTTTTACTACTTTAAAAATTCTGCTAATTGTGCTTTTCCAGTATAGTAGCCATTAGCCACATGTAACTAAATTTTTGTTCTGTTTTACAGCACCTACATTTTAAGTGCTCAGTAGCTATATCTGACTATTGACTACTGTACTGAACAGTGCAAATATATGCACACTTCTAGAGTAATAGAAGGTTCTCTTGAACAGAGTCATTCTATACTTAAATACAAATAACCACTTTTCTTACATCATGGAAAGTATTTAAGTTAACAAAAACTTGTCTTGTTCACTGTGAACCCCACCTCATACACACATATTGGTCCTTGAAACTTGATCTTGACAGTTCCTTTAAACAATATGTAGGATAAATAAAAACAGCTACCATTTCTTGGTCCTTATTTTCTTTTTACCACATACTCTTATATTCTTATGTTACCAAGAAGGAAACTAAGGGGGAAGAAGCAGGACACCTAAAGAAGTGTACATTCTCTTAAGTTGGGTGTAAAATTGATGCTTCCAAGTAAACTAAAGAACTGTTCTCTGTTTATTATGCTCTTTTACCATTCTCTTTGTGGGTAAATATAATTGTGGATATAGGATATAATGAACTTTTTTCTTAGCTTTGTGTGGGAGGATTCTCATAACAACAGCTCATCAGCAGACAAGCCCAGACTTCTCGCTCTTAGTGAAAATTATGAACTGTTCATATATGAATTTAATTTGAAAGATGGAAGATGTGATGCAACGATTCTGTGGACCTGTAGTGAGGAGACATTACAAAAGCTTATTGAAGATCACAATATCAGTAAGTATTTTTAGGAGATCTTTTCAGTATGTTTAAATCTGATATTATATAACTATATATTTCAAGAAAAGTTCTTACAAAGGTGAAATCAGGGAGAGAGATCTGCCTTGTCCATTACTGTAGCCACCACATGGGCTATTGAGCACATAAAATATGGATGCTGAATTTCTTTAGGTGTCCAGTATATACCAGAGTTTGAACACTTAGTAAAAAGTAAAGTGCTTTATTAATAGCTTTCTGTATTAATTACATGTTGATATATTTTGGGTGCAGTGAAGTAAAAAATGTATTAAAGTTAGTTTCACCTTTAAGTGTTTTAATGCTTTATCTTAAAATTGTTTTCATCAAAGTAATAATTGTGTCTAATATTTCAGTTGCATAGCATTATAAATCAATATCTGTGTGTGCTATGTTATGTTTGCCACCAAAGTCTAGTTGTCCGTCTCTCATTGTATAGTTGATCCCTTTTATTTGATTTACCCACCTCTCTTTCCTTTTTATATTTTAAGATGTTTGGAGATTTTGTTTGTTCATTCTTTCTTCGGTGCAACTGTGGAAAATTTTAAATTCAGTATGTGGCTCACATTTGTGGCAGGTGTTAACATTTCTATTGGACAGTGCTGGTCTGGACTGGTTACATAGCTCTTTACTATTGATACGTCCTTTCCTGAGGGCTGCTGGAAGCTGGAATCAAAATATGCAGGGTTCTATTTTTTTTAAGGCAGTAACATACTCGTCATCCATGTCTGTAAAGTTCCTTCTTTAAGAAAAAAGTCATTTTTGTGTGTGGGGTGGTAAATAGTCTTTTTTTTTTGTATCTGCTGGTTGCTATCAGATTGGCCTCAAACAGAAGGAATAGAAACATTTTAGAGCATCTTTATTTACCCCCTTATCTACTTTCCAGTGACCACATGTTTAGGTGGGTATGACAGTAACTGCCTCGAGTTGAACTAAGTCATGTGCTGTTTTTTTGTCTTGTTTTGTTTTACTTGGTTATGTCATGTTTACAAAATCCATTTTACCATTAGTAAAATTATGACCCATGTGTTTGAATAATATACTTTTGCTTCATAGGTACTTCCATATTATCTTTGAAAGTTCTGTCATTTCAAAATAACACATCCTTACTATTCATCAACAAATGTATCATCCTGCACCTTATATTTCCGGAAAGAGATGCTGAAACTAGAGTACTCAACTGTTTCACATTACCCTTACCTGCACAGGCAGTGGACAGGATTATTGACACACAACTCTGCAGAGGAATTCTTTTTGTTTTGAGTAGTTTAGGCTGGATCTGTATCCTTGGCATTAAAGATGTGATATGCAGGGGAGAACAAATACCCAGAAAGGTGAGCATTTCTAAATTACTAGTTTTAGGTACTGGGGTGTAGGTAGAATGGTTGGTTTTTTCAGTAAAACTTTTTAGGGATAAAGACTTTGATCAACTTAAAACTCAAATTCCTTTATATTTCATATAGATATTTTCTAGTATATGTATATATTTCTTCATGGCTATAATCATCTAACCCAAGTTATTATGTTGCAATACTCTGTGTTACTCATATATTCAAAATATACTCCCTAAATTCATTATGTGCTTGACTTGTGAAGGACATGGATGATTGCTTATGAGACATTTTTTTATATATGAATATAAACTACCTTTTATCTCTAGAGATAATTCTATTATATCAGTGAGTCATATTTTGTTTAATCATCTGAGATTTGGTTTTGAAAAATATTAGACTTTAATTGCTAGTAGATCTAAATTTCATCATCAAAATTATTTTGAGGACTCATAAAATGATCCTTTATGACTTGAGAATTTTCATCTTTAAAGATTCTTTTTTTTCTGCTTTAGGTAATCATACCCTGTATTAACATTTCTTTGGTAAAATGTTGTAAAATAATGGGTTAAGTTCATTTTGTTGCCAGGTTATATAGTAGCACGGTTCAACATGGTAGGCAATAGGTATATGTGATTACTGAGCACTTGAAATTGGTTAGTGTGATTGAGGAACTGAATTCTTCACTTTATATTAAATTTAAAAGGTGATACTTGATTCAGTTATTAGAGAACTTTAAATACACACAGTTGTTTCAAGTTCTTAAATGTAAATTGTATGAATGCAGATCAGTTATTTCCAGTGAAAATTTAATGTGCACATTGAGATGTACTTTAAGTATAAAATACCAGCTTTTGAACTGATGTGAAAAATAAAAATATTTCAAATTCTTATATTTCACATTTAATGGAATTTGAAACTATTTTGAATTTTTGTAATACATTTTGAGGTAATTTGAATATACTTGGTAAAATAGAATATATTAAAATTGGGTTTTTAATTTTTACTTTTTAATAAGGTCGCTAGAAAATTTATAACAATTGTGATTCACATTATATTTCTCTTGGGCAGCTCTGTGGAAACATTAGCAGTGTCTGAGGGCCTGGCACAGAGTGGGTATTAACTTACATTGAATGAACTCTGTCAAGTGGTTTATTAAGCTACCAACTTCATAGTAATCTGGCTACTATGATGAAGGCTGCCTTACTGTTTTGCCTTCTGATTCTGCACTATAAAAGTGGAGTAATGAGGTCTTTAGCTTGATCCTGTCTTATGTTTTAAATGGTCAGGCATATCTAAGACTGGCTTTTCTTTAACTCTAACTCAACGATATTTTTGACATTGTGGATGGTACACATGTAGCTCATGTGGATTTAGCGCTTCACGATGAAGATATGTGTAATGATCAGCAACAGGAGACAGCCAAGATTTCTTCCTTTACTTCACTGAAAGTGTCTCAAGATCTAGATGTTGCAGTTATTGTCAGCTCTTCCAACTCTGCAGTTGCTCTTAACTTAAACTTGTATTTCAGGTATGTATACTATTGGGATCTCTAAGGGCTATAGAGTTTAAAATGTACTTGTCACCAGTTTTCTCTATTCAGTTAGATCATGTTCTCTAGATAACTACATAATTAAGGTTGTTACTACATAATGATGTGTGTAAATGCTCTCTACCTTTTCACTTTGTAAATCACTTCATATATCTTCAAGTTTTGGTTTTGATTTATACACTTACATATAGCTAATATCATTTAAGTAAAAAAGTAATGAAGCACAAGTTTTAAAGTCTTTGGCTATCATACAGTAGCTACTCACATCTTGCCCCACATTACTGTGTAAAAGAAATAGTGTTTACTTGGTGTTAGAATTCCTTAAGTGGCTCAGGGTCCTAGATACTTTGGGGATCACTATTCTCCTAAAAGGCAATCAGGATATGTTAAGCTAGCTTTCTCCAGCTGAGATTTTCCTCAGATGTTTCCCTTTCCCTTGGAGGGGCCAAACTTGTGTCTATCTAAATTAGCAAATTGAGTGCTGATGTCAGATGCTTTTTGATTTAGATGTTCTAGTTGCTTCTGATTTTATGATGTTTGAGTAGAGGGGGTATATATGAGTATATGTGTGCATGTAAACAGCCTATTCATTGCAATTTGCTTATCTAAAAGGCCTCTCTGGTGACTTAGGGGTTAAGTCTCAAAGCTAGTACCACTGCAGCCTGAGTTTGATAACCCAGGGAGCTGACCCACATGTGGCATAGCAGACCTCTCCTGTCTCACTTACTGCTCCCCTCAACAGTGTATTTCAGTCGATCCACCTGATCTGCTCCCCACTCTCTCTGGTGAATCCTCTCACCCCCTGCATGTCTGACCTACACCCCAATTCTTCTATGCATAAATAATCTTTTAAAAAAAGGAAAATAAAAGTAGACCAGTCTACATTTTATTACTTCCAGTGTTTATCTGTATACTTACCTCACCATCATCTATCTACCTTGGAAAACAATTTTAAGGTGAGAAGAGAGAAAAATCTACTCAGCTACTCTGGCCCTTCAGTTGGTCCAACACCCAAGGGCATTCTGAGAGTAACCTGCACATTCCTTTGAATATATTTTATTGAACTCAGCTATTGTAATATTAACCAAAGAAGAGCTATTGCTGTGTTCCCTGCAGTAAATTTGAAAATATGTCCTGTCTAACTAAATGAGTGATGCCTATTAATTGTTTACATGAATGCTCTTAAGCTGGTATAATTTCTGTGGCGTTGCTCTGAAAGCTAAGCTTTTTTTTTTTTAAGATTTATTTATTTATGTATACAGAACTGGGGTATAGGCCAGAGGTATAGGGGCGGTGAGAGGATTCACCAGAGACAGAATGGGGAGCAGAACAGGCCGACTGATGAAATACACTGCTGAGGGGAGCAGCTGGGAGGATGGAGGGGACAGGAAAGCTCTACAATACCACGTGGGTTACCTCCGGGGCGGGGATCGAACTCATGCTGAAGTGGCTTTAGCTTCTCAGTGCTATGCTTTAACCCACTGCACCACCAGGGAGGGCCCTAAGCTTTTTTATTTTATAAGATTTATTTTATTTATGCATACAAGAACTGGGGTCTAGTTAGGTATGGGGAGGGCATGAGAGGATTCACCAGAAATAGAGTGGGGAGCAGAACAGCTAGATCTACTGAAATATACTGCTGAGGGGAGCAGCTGGTGAGGCAGGAGAGGTCTGCTATGCCATGTGGGTCAGCTCCCTGGCCAGGGATTGAACTCATGCTGCAATGGCTGTGATAGCTTGATAGTGCTGAGACTTAAACCCCTGTGCTTGCCACTAGGGATGCCTGAAATCTAAGTGTTTTTATCTTTCCTGTCACCTGGCCCTAGCACTGCTTTCCTGACACACAGTATCATTCCCCCATTTTAATTTTATCAAGTTCTGTTTATCCTTTAAAGATGTACATCTTTCATGAAATCTTTCCTTACTGAAACATCTTCCGCTCATAGGTTTATACTCATAATTTTTCTCGTCTTTGAATACCTGTAGCACTTCTACTTTGAACTACATTTGAGCACTTAATTATATAGCTTTACTTCCCTAAGTTTTTCTTGGTCTTTCTAGAATTTGTAATCTCCTTGACTCAAACTCATGGTTTGTTCTTTCAATTCATTATCAGTGACTTTCTTTCATTTTACCATAGCTCTCCATTCCTTGTGTCATTATTTCAAATTTAATTTGATTATTTCTGACCCCCCCACTCCTCTCCATCGCTATAGTATATCTTACTCTCTGATCACAACTCACTAAACTTTCTACCTCACTTACACAAGTACACATACTTCATCATCTGATTTCATTGGAATTTTTCCTCAGTTGACCTCTTAAGACTGCTCCTATCTTCACTTCCCTGTATTTAAGCTTAGTTTCTGGGACCCGTCATTTCGGTCTAAACTATTATATATGTACCCTAAACTCTTCATTTCTGCCCTATGGTATCACTTGGTCTGACAAATTTTTAAAAAGTATTCTGCCTTCTTAGTTTCTGCACCCAGGCAACTGAGCACTTGTGAGAAAACCATGAAGGAAAATTGATTCCACTGTACGTTCATATTTGCTGCCTTCAGCCTGTCTCAAATTTGCCTGGAAAGTTTGTCATTTTTCACGAGCACATTCTTTTCAGCAATGCTTTTAACCTCTATTTATTCCTTTACACTGGACTCCTCCTATTTTATAAAGAAAATAAAACTCATGGAACTCCCTTACTTAGTACATTACATTAGAAGCCCACTTTCCTGCCCCATCTCCTTTGTTTCCCCTCCTGTGCAATGGAGATAGTTTCTTTCCTATGAAGATCCACCCCTCTGTGTGTTCAGGATCCTATCTCTTCTCAGCCATCATTTTCCATTTCCTCTCTTTTTCTCCATCTCCACCTCTTATGTATTAGGTCAACGTTGAGTTAATCACCAGGACCTAGAGTTTGCCTCATAAATACTTCTTTTTTTTTTTTAATATTTATTTTGTAGAAGAGCTGAGGTGTAGGCCAGAGGTGAAAAGAAATGAGAAGATACCCCAAAGACAGAGTTGGAAGCAGAACAGGTAGATTGATTGAAATACACTGCAGCAGGGAGGATCAGGGAGGACAGGAGAGGTCTGCTGTGCCATGTGGGTTAGCTATGTGGCCAGAGAACTCAGGTCACAAAAGTGATAGCACCAAGGCTTAATTAACTCTTAGGACACCAAGTAGGCCCCTTGTAAACATTTCTTGAATTTGTTTATATCTTTCTTAATTTCTATATTATCACTGGTCCATACCACTATCCTTTCTTACCTGATCTTGCTTGGGGTTTATTTACCTCATAGGATTGTTTAAAGGTTAAAATAAGATGGTTTATGTTGTTATTTTTATCATAACACCTGCAATATAGTAGGTATTGCTTCATAAGAGCTAACTGTTCTTAAGGATCTGATTCTTGAGGTTGACTTTCACTCTGTCATAGGGAAATTTACTGTCCATACTGTTTATTTTCTTTGATACTTCCCACTCCATTTTTTTTCTTCTGAAACACAATTTTTTAATATTTTAATTCCGGTTTTTAAAAAATAATATAATAGTTTATTTTTACATCATTTTGTGCATTTTTTCCATCTCAGTTGTAATCCCCATGGGCTTCCCATCACCAAATCACCTGTGTGCCATCACCATAGTCCAGTGCATTTCCCTCCCCTCACTGTTTTTGATCCCATTTCCCACTCCACTCCAAATAAAATGTCTCTGATATATTTCTCATTATTATTATTATTTTCTCGCCTGGTCTGTTATACTTCTGCTATGAGTGGTATTTTTCCTTTTCTTTCTGGCTTATTTCACTAAGCATGATCTTTTCCAACAACATCCATGTTGCTGCAAAAGGCATGTGTTTTATTTTTTTTTGTTTGCTGAGTAATATTCCATAGTGTGTATAAACCACATCTTTTTAATCCAGTCATCCACTTTTCAGCATTTGGGTTGTTTCCATGTCTTTCCAATTGTAAATAAAGCAGCGATAAACATGGAGGTGCAGGTGTCTTTTTGAATCAGTGTTTTTGTGTCTTTGAATAGATACCTAGGACTCCCCACTCCATTTTTAACAGGAGCAGTAGTAACAGATATGGGTTTGGTCATTAGTTTTTATTTGGCTATCATTTTAAAATGTAGGCAATACCCAGGACACCTACTACGTGAAAGAACTCTAGAAGACCTTCCTATTGAAGTACCCAAGGGGATAGATGAAGATGATCCTACTAATTCTGACTACAACATGAAACTGGTCAACTTCTCCTTCCAAGTTGATAGGTATAGAAACCTCCTTTTTGGATTGACTTTATTACTTATATTTTTTCCCTACCAAGCTGGTACCATACTTTTCTCTGAAGATATTTTCAGAGGTAGATGCTTTTTTAAAAAATCATCTTTGTTTTGGCTTATAATTTTACATGGTGACTTGACAATAATCGGTGAATCCTACTCTATCTTCCAGGTCTTGGAAAGCCCAGCTGTCATCATTGGATGAAACTCTAAAGAACTCTAGACTGGAGGTTTTTAGTGGCATTCCATGGTTTCAGGGTATTTTGCATTTAGAGTCCCCTGATTCTAGAAACAACAGTGCTACTATGCCAGGCTGGACCTTAATTCCCCAGGACATAATGCACAGCCAGTATAATTTTCCACAGAAATATGATACCAAGGCCAGTGATCCAGGAAGATCATGGAAGATCATGCACATTAGTGAACAAGAGGAACCCATCAAGCTTAAATGTCTGTCTGTGACAGGATTCACTGCTCTGTTTACTTGGGCAGGGGAAAGTACAGGTTGTACCATTGTCCTTTGGGATTTGGAGACCCAGGCCATGCAGTGTTTTCCTCTTGACAAAAAGTGTATTCCGGTAGACACCAGTGGAGACCAACAGCTGTGCTTTGTTTTGACAGGTGAGTGTCTTGTATCAGATTAACACTCATTGCTGAGAGGTATGCTTTCTTAACTTTTGTATTTTGCAAAAGTGCTTTAGTTTTGTTTTTTTTTTTCCTTGTTCTTCTCCCCCCCCCCCAGTTGTGTTAGTGTCTATTCTCACTTCAAGTGGCAATCTTTCATGTATGAAATTAGGTGTTACTTCTAATAAGGCCTCATGTTCATTTTTTTTTAAATGAAGGTCATTTCTGCATAGCCAAATACTAACATACTAAGAGATAAGTTCAAAAGTAATAAAATATAGCAGGGAGTGTTCTTTTGAGTTCATTGTAGAAAAGCAAAGGTTGCAAGCTGGCTGTGTGTGGCCATGTGTGGAATTTGGATTTATTTTGTTTGCGTGCACTATCCAGGCTTTTTAAAAAAAGATTTCATTTTTTATAAACATGAAAAATTAAGAGAATCTCACACAAAATCTGCATTTCTAGTTGTTAGCAAAAATTGGTAAGGTGTGGCAGCACTGGATCTGTATTCCTGCAAAAATTCAGTGAGTTGAAGCTAAACTTCAGCTCAGTTAGGTGGGCTGTTTTCTTTCTTGTTGGGTTCTTCTCACACTTCTCTCACCATCTGTAGCATTTGGGTTTGATATGTCAGAAATTCATTCAACATTTATGCTATAACATCCTATCGAACATTATTATTGAAATAATCATGTGTTTCTTCTTCAACATTCAAATTTTGGTAATCATTTCTGTATGTCAAGAGCATGCTTTTATTTTCATAAACCATCAATGTGATATCTAAAAAGCTTAAGATTCCAGATGTTGATAGTGCAGAATAATATCAAGTGTATTATAATAAGCTTGTGCTTATTGTTTCAAAAATAAAACTCATCTTGAAAAACATTAAAGCATTATGAAGATTAATAGTATTCAATGTCCATTAAAATATATTTGTAGTTGTAGTGCTAAAGTGTTGAATAATTTGAAATTAATTCCTAACACTGATACCTACATCCTAATAATTTATTACAACTAACTTTTTTTTTTTCTGTAGAAAATGGACTTTCTCTGATTTTGTTTGGTTTGACTCAAGAGGAATTTTTAAATAGACTAATGATACATGGAAGTGCCAGTACTGTGGACTCTCTTTGCCATCTCAATGGTTGGGGGAGGTGCTCAATCCCCATACATGCACTAGAGGTAACAGAATTAATGTCAGTAGAACTTTGCTTAATTGTTTTTTGTCACTTTTTGACTGTTCATTATTTGACTAAAGATTTGGGAGAATTCATTTAACCTAGCCCTGAAACAAGTATTATCTTTACTCACTTATTTGCTTACTTCTTACTATTTAACAATCCTACTTCTGCTTAGTAGGTTAACTTTTTGCATGTAAAAGCCAAATGGTTATAACAGCTATTTTTTCTTAAAGTTACAAGAAGGGTCCTCCCTGGTGGTGCAGCGGGTTGAAGCTCAGCACTGTGAAGCTAGCTGCAGCCACTGCAGCTGATGTTTGATCCAGGGAGGTGACCCACATGCGTGACAGACCTCTCCTGAGCCATCTGCTGCTCCCTTCAGTATATTTCAGTCTGCCTGTTCTGTTCCCCAATCTGTCTCTGGTGAATCCTTTCAACCCCCACACTTCCAGCCTGTACCCCAGTTCTTATATCCATAAATAAATAAATCTTAAAAAGTTACAAGAAATGGAGGCAACAATAAACCAAAGTGGAGACAGGCTTTGAAAAGGGGTGACCTTTTATTTCTAATTTATGGTTCCCAGTCTTTTAATCCATCTATAGAAGTGCCATAACCTGAATTTATATACCATTTTGTAGTTTACAAACACTTATATATAGTACCTAAATTTTTCCTAAAACAACTCATGTGATGGGTTTTTCTTCATTTCATTTTACAGATGAAAAATCTTAGAATGTTGTTAATAGTCCTGTAGCTATATTAGTAAAGACAGGAACTACAGTAAAAGTTAGGGCACTGTCTATTAATGCACAGCCCCTGAAGAGTGAAGAATGGGAATTTAATAATGTATATGCCTTTTAAATTTTTATTTACTTTTTAAAAAAATATTTATGCTTACAAGACTGGGGTACAG